TTAGACATCAAATATTCCATTTGTTTCTCTACATTAACCACCCCAATTTATTCAAGTGTACACCATCTATCAGGGACTTATAACTTCTAATCAAACATAAAATATTCAAACTCATACTAAGCATACATGTTCACATTTTTCAATAATCCATCAGGTTCTAAGTCACTCACCTTAATGAAGTCCATTCACCAAGTCCACCTGTACATAATTATTGTACTACACTACACAAGCATAAGAATCTTACTAATACTATCTTCATACTATACACTCCTCTCAAATATATATTTATTATCCACAGTACTACAATTTCACCTATGCTGATACTGTACATATCATAGGTTTGTTTATGATTTTTACTTATAATACAACTTTAGAATTTTCCTCTACAAGGTCAGACAAAACATTTAAGTCTGTTTCCCTTAAGTTCTATAATATTCACATTTTACATAATGCCATCTCTTGTCCATGGAGCAGTCAATACTGCAGCCACAACATCAGGCTAAGGACTTACACCCGGTGCTTCAGGGTTGCCACGCACAGTGTTGTTAAAACGTCGAGTCAACTCGGTAGAAACGGACGAGTTTACGTTTTTTGTTCCAAAATCGTATTGAAACGTTAGTTGAAACGGAAATTGAGCTGACTCAGTTGAAACGACGAGTCAACTCGGTAAACTCGGTTGACTCGGCGAGTTTACCGAGTCGACTCAGTTTTTTAAAAAAATCAGATAAGAGGGGGAGGAGGAGATTCCGCCGTCACCGCTCTTCTCTGTGTTCTTGGTCTCATCGCCGCTCACGCTACACCTGTCTCCGCCGCTCACGTCTATCCTCCACCGCCGCTGCGCAACCTGCTCCTCCTCCGGCCGTAGTTCTGTGCTTCAGATCTTTGGCAAAAATAACCAGAGAGCGAGAGATAGAGAAAGAGAAAGAGAAAGAGAAAGAAAGAGAAGAGGAAAAGACTTTTAGATAAAAGAGCATTGGACAGAGCGAGAGAAAGAAAGGAAATGACTTTTTGAAAAGGGCATTGGACCATGTAAAAGAGAGTCAGATAGATAAAATATTTTAAATAAGCCATAAAGATAAAAACTGACAAAGGAGATGACTTTTCATATGCCATTTTACACAAATTTAAAATCTTATCCCTTACTATTCTTTATTATTATTATTATTACTATTATTATTTAATTTAAATTTTGTTTTCAATTAAATTTAATTTTTTATTTTCACTCTTTTCTATTTTTTTATTTGAATTAAGAGGTTAATTTTTTTATATAATTAACAAAAATTAATTGTTAAATACATTATTAATAATTTAACGTTTTTAATTAAATTTAATATTAATTTATTTATATTTATATTTATATTTATATATATATATATATATATATATACTAATTATAATTTTCTTTGATACATAGTAAACTCTTACGTTTCGTTTACGTTTCACGATTTTACGTTTTTATTCACCCCTACCGTTTCTAGGTAGACTCTACGCTTTAACAACATTGGCCACGCAGGCTTCTTACGATGACTACACATGTAACACAAAGGAATGGGATGATCAGACCCACACTAAGGAATCACATATGCAGGAATCGAAAAGAATCTACATACAACTATGCAGCACATAACACATATATACTTTATCAGGCTGTTTAAGTAAATTATTCTGCCCCTATTTAAAAAAAAAAAAAAAAAAGGGTCAGCTCCTCTGCTCCAAAAATTTCGCTCAAAGAGCTCAAGTCATCAAGGTGAGAGCAAGAGCCGCTCAAAGAGCATACTGTTGAAGGTCAGCCCTATGCAAAGACAAGGGTAATTGACTTCCAGTTAAAAGACCTGAAAAGAAAGAAATAGAGAAGGGAGCTAGAAAGTAAGAGAAGAAATCAAGCCAAAAAGTTCAATACGGAAGCAACTCTGTGGGAAACTGACTAAAAGAGTGGAAGAGTTCACACACACAATGAAGCTGGTGAAACTCACAAGTCAGATGAGTGCTCTAATGAAGCAATGGAAAGAGTTAAGTTAACTCTTCATCGATAATCTCAAGGAGCATTAGCCTGTCACAAGAAGATTGTTGGTTGTGAAGGATTACTTGGGACGAGTAATATCTAGTTTTGGGGTGTTGATAGTCCTCAAGAGTTGAGACCCATTAAGTGTAAATTGTTCCACAAAACCCATGTTTTGGTTATAAATCACCCCCTTCAACCTTCTTCTTTTCATATAGAGCAACTGTTTTGAATAGTGGACCAGAGCAATGCCGAAAGTGGGAATTAAGGTAGACCTGGAGCAAATTTAACATTATCTTTTTCACATATGACTATTGGGTTAGTTTGCTTTGTTCAGGACACCTAAGGCCCATCAAAAGGAACCATAAAATGAAGAGAGAAGAAGGAGTGTTGCGCAGAAAGGAAAAAGAAGTCTGCTATAGTACAACAGCAGTCAAAGGAAGCAATGGGGAGCCGCCACATCAGCTCCAGCAGAGAAGGTGGAGGTGTTGCCTCTGCTACAATACGAAAGCAAAGAAGTTGAGCAATGGGGAGCCGCCACGTCAGCTACAGCAGAAGGAGTGGAGGTGCCTCCCTGAATCCGATACTTCTACTCACAAAGGGAGCCAAAAGCAAGGGGGACCACTTCCATTTAAGGCCAAGCTGGCAAGAAGCAAAGCTACCATTGGAGAGGATTTAGACAAAGCACAACCCTTGATGAAAGGAACAATGGAGATCAAATGAAGAACCCTATAAAAGGAACAAGCAATCCTCATAAAGGGGATCATCAGCACCCATCCTAGGACTCGTTGTCCCTTTGTTTTTTTTTTTTTTTTTTGTAAAAATGCTCACTAGGAGCTAACTTCCTCTAAGTAGGTGAGGGTTCTATAGAAGTAATCCCTTTTGTCTTAGGATAGCTTTGTAAGGAACACATATTTTATAAATGAATTTTGAGCTGCTCTTTGGTTTAATTTATTGATTTTGTGAAACCCTTTGGGCTGGCAACCTCATCCTGGGACCACTCGGTTGATGAAACACTGACAAAGGCGTGTGGAGCATTCTCAAAATCCTGGGGTAGTTTAGCCTGAAGAAAGGAGGGAGAAACACCTGGAATGGGGAGCACTGCCATGTGAATCCATGCTCTTTTGAGAAGGCAGCATGGTTTCCTTGCATATAACTCCAAGCACTATGGAGTAACGTGGAGAGTAAGGCCTTACCCTCTGCTTATCTATAGCAAAACAAGGGAAGGAGCAAAATCCACTTGTAAAATATGCTACCAAGCAGGGTTAACCAAAGGGATGAAAACATGGAACCCGTAACACCTACTTGATCTCTTTCTTTCTGAAATTAATCTTAACTCAACTTCTATCACAACCTTTTCTTCACGATAACTGAACTGTGTTTTACCAGCTGATGCTCTTACTTTCATTTCGTTGACTGCTCTTAAAGTTACTTCAATTGATGCCTTTTTATTCGATGACCGTGCTAAGTCATTCACTACTCTCATCTGGTTCAGAATGGTTAACATTGTTTAACTAGCTGCTCAGAGATTGCTCTTTGTGAAGCTTAGCTGAGAATAGTAATTTCTTTTATTGCTCCATTTTACAAATTAAGTTTCCTTTAGCGTTTCTTACTTCACAACTGCTCCTTGAGGACGATAAATCTGGGGCTACAATACCCTATATTGCTTGGTACGTACGCTTGCGTATAGTTGAAGAGGGTTGCTCTTAGTCAGAGTAGATTGCTCCTGTTGGCAATCCTGATTACTACTCTACACTCTTGCTCTCTGAAAGAAATATTCCCGAGCAGCTCTCGGTTCGACCAAGCATCAGCTCCTCGTAACGAATCCCAATGAGCGTTGACCTCCAATACGTAAGCCCTAACGGATCAGACTCCTGGACTCCTATAAATACCACCCTTGGGCACAAGGGAAGAGGAGCTATCTTTTATGAACTGTTGTTATGCCCATTTACTTCCAAGTTATACTCTTACTATTTGTCTGCCATTAATATCAGCTTGCTACCTCTTGGAACACTACCTTCTAGCCTGGTCTTTACCTCAGCTAGGGGTATAATCCATATAATAACATTACCCTCAAGGGTACATAGTGGGCTCACAGTATCGAACAGTACACTATTATTACACAAAAAGATAATTATACTCGTTGTTGAATACATTCCCCCCACGTTCAAGAAACCATGTGAAAACATTATTTTACTGTGATTATCTAACAAAGTTTCAAACTTAGAACCTTCGCAAATCTTGTTGATAGTAGCCAAGTAACGCTTAAAAATTAAAAACTTCATGCTCCTACATTGCCTATTAAATAAGCCACCCCCACATTTATAAAAAAAAAATGAAATAAAATAAGCCACCCCCACATGTGAACTTGTCGACTAGGTGCATGTTTGAATCCTCTTTTTTTTAAGCTAGAAGCTACTTATAAGAATAAGCTAGGCCAAATAAGTTTTGGAAAAAGAAGAAAAAAAGCTGAAAACTAAAAGCTCCTAGGAGGAGCTTTTTTTTAAGCTCTTATATATTTTTCTTGAATTGTGTGATTTTCTTTTAAATGAAGAGTTATAAAAATAGAGAGAGAAATAATTTTCTTGAAACATGTGCTTTTGAGTAATTTTTAAGCTAAATTTTTTATGTAATTACCAAACAGCTTTTAGCTTCTTTTTTTAAGCTCTTATTTTTAGCTTTAGCTTATAAGTAGCTTCTAGCTTAAAAATAAGAGGATCCAAACAAGCTCTAGATCTATCACAAATAAGAGCCACCCCTTCTCCATGTAAACTACCTGCAGACCCGGGAAACATGGTTTTATTTAGAAATGATATAAACAAAACCACAAGACAGAGAAATTACCTCAATTTCTGACATCTGCAATTGAAGCAAATTGTTAAGTGCACTTTCTCTTCCACAAATATATATATAATTCCTCATGTTTAAGAACCTCAAAAGAATTTTTTTCAATTAAAAAAAAACTATTTTGTTACTTCTTACACCAAATATAGAAGCCAAAATGTCAAAATTGAAGCTTCTTGTGGAAATCTCCAAATTCCTCACCATAAGAAGCACTAGGAGCTGCAGATCCTTCATCACTGCTTCTTCAAGACCCTTGCAGGCATGTCTCTTTGATTTCATTTAATGAGTGAATATCAATTTTACATCTTGGGTTGATGAATGGATATGGGTTAACCAAGTTTTGGTTTCTTAATTAAATGTAGGATATAAAAAGGGATGACAAGGGAAGGAGGAATGAGAAGAAAGAAAAAGCCGCAGATAAGACAATAGAACAAGCGGAAGCAGTTAAAGAAGCAGCAAAAGAAGTGAGGAAGACATGTGAATTCGTGAGAGACACTGGCGCAAGTGTAAGACCAAATTAATTTGCTCTCTTGTTTTGGCTTTTAATTAAAATTTATCAGAGAATCTAATATAAAATTATTAATATAGATATCATTTACAAAATTAATTTTTAGGTTGAATGGTTGTTCGTATGATATCAAAACTCTTGACTAAATGATCACAAATTTTTTCCACGCCGTTCTCATTCTTTTAGTAAATATTTAACTATGAAATTTCTTAGTATAGGTAAATGAATTTGTGCATTATCCATATTTAAAGTCCAATAAACTTTTGTGTGAGGAGTTGTTTAATAAAATTTAAATTGTTTTGAAGAGAAAACTTTGTAATTACAAAACTAACTAGGAGACTAATTAAGGTTTCTTCACATCAACAAAATAAGTATGGTATTTTTCATATGGATCAGATGCATTTCAGTCCAATGGCGGAGTTACATGTGGTTAGGATGGGTGATTTCCAAAAAATTCATAAAAAATTCATCTTAGTAGATCCGTTCAAACTTCAAATGTAAATTGTCTTCAAACTTTTTTGTTATTATTATTACTTAATTATCAAAAAAATCACAATTCTTTAAATTTGACTACATATATAAATTATGCTTCCTTCGCATATTACAAATTTTTTGGCTCTAGCTTGGGTGTAAATGACTCAGATTTTAGCTTAAATTGGTTAGATATGTGTAAAATATTCTAGTTTAGCTTAACTTATTAGATAGATACAAGCTAAAATATAAGTTTAATCTAACTTATTTTTAAAAAATATAAGGTTTGTCTGACCTATCATATCTAGCAAACCTTCAAATATGGCATATCACACTATATAAATGATTAAATGGTAGATTATGACTATTTTATTTCTTTTGTATATTTAAGTTTATGAAAAGTCAAAGCACAATAGCTAAAATTAAACCACAACCCAAAATATTAATAATATAACTATGTTGCTGGAAATAAAAAATAAAATAATGGTACAGATGCAAAAGGTTTAATTAATTTTTTTTTAAAATGAAACATATTCACTCACTCATACATTAACATTACATAAAAGAATTAGATTAGAAGGAGCTTAAGAGTTTAGGAGGAGGGTTAGAAAAGATGAAAAATTATAAAATATTATTTTATTAAAATATAATAATTTTTTTATTAAAGCATAATAAAATATTGTTTTGTGTTTACCAAAAGTAAAATAAAATATTGTTTTGTTAAAATTTATTAAAATATTATTTATTAAAATACAAAATAATATTACTTATTAAAAAATACAAGCCAATTTTTTTGAAATAGGTCTGTGACTAAATTTCTAAATACATTTTTTATTAAACTCAGATTTGTGTTATTTTTAAAATAGATCAAACCAAATTAGATCAGAGAAAATCAAATATCCGCCTGATCAATTTTTATTGTACAATTGATAAACAGTAAGGCCACACGGGAAGATTTGAATAAGGCTATACAATCGTTGTGTCTTATAGCGAGATTAGAAACAAGTAATTTGCAAAATAAAATATTATTAAACACACAGTTTTTTATGAACTTATCAGCATCATATTTGAGATTTTTTGAACGTTCAGGTGATCGATATGACAAAGAATGCTACTGACAAAGTATGTGAAGCAGCTGAGACCATAACAGAGAAAGCAAAAGGTGCATGGGGAACAGCAAAAAATACTACAGACATTATCAAGGACAAGATTATTGGAAAGTGAGCTAAAAAAGAGGTGCATGGGGAACAGAAAAAATACTACAGACATTATCAAGGACAAGATTATTGGAAAGTGAACTAAAAAAGTTGATGCTACTTGAAAAAAATATTGAAGTTACGATGATTTTATTGGAATATTTTTACTATTAAAATTTTTTATTATCAATTTACTATTTATCTAATTATTATTAAATAAATATTTTCTTTTTTTTCAAATTTTTTTTAGCATTTTTTTTTGATTCAATAGTAATTAAATAAATAGTAAGTTAGTAATAAAAAATTTTGACAGTAAGAATATCCATCCTCTTTATTTATAAATGAAACAGTGTTCCCTAGCGTTTAATAATAGAAAACATAATCTCAAATAGGCCTCTTGTATATAAATTTTTAGGCCAATCATTTATTCTTTCTTATATTTCTTCATAGCTATTGTTTTTTTATTAAGAGTGTGGACGATCGTTTCGTTCTCTAGCTTTGATTTTAGAGATTTTTTTTTTTATATATTTAGGAAGAATTTCTGGGCATAAAAATGTATTTGATAACACATATTATGATGTGTGTATTTAATAAATAGAGGGAGTTTACTTTCTTTTATTTTCTAATCCTGATAACACATTTTATGATGTGTGTAAGAAAAATAAAAATAAAAATATATTTCTTTATTAAAAAAATTTGTTAGTACTGTTCTATCGGTTTATTTTCTGAAACAGAAAATTAAATCAGTTTTTTTATCATATACAACTTATAATCATTTCTGTTCTCCAAACTAAATATTAAAAGAAAAAATGTTTTGGGAATATTATCATACACCCTAGGGTAGTGTTTGGTTGAAGGTTTATTTTAGGATTGATGGGAAAGTGTAGGTGGATATTGGAAAATACCACGTTTGGTTCAGGTTTTTTCAAGAAATACCAGACAAATAGGATAAATGGGAAAATGACTTTTGTGTTGATTTTTGGATGAAATTCACTGTTACAAAATACCACTTGAGATGTGGTATTGTGAGATGACTGAGGAAGTGAAAAAAACAGGTGCAAAGTTTCTCTCAAACATAGATTTTGCATATTTAAATAAATTTCTCTGGTAATATTTGGGTCAACCAAACAACTTTTTTTACATTTTCCTATCAAACTCACCTTCCAACCATTTTTCTATCAATTACATTTCCCTAGTAAAATTTTTTTTCTCCCGAACCAAACACTACCTAAGGGATCTTTTGTTCTCATTTATTTCTTGCATGTTGTTTTGATTTATTTAAAAGAAAAAAACGACATTTTACACAAAATGTGTGTGTCTTTGCTGTATGAAAAAATATAAAGCTAGTCTCTTCCATGGCTTGATTCATGTACTCCGTTATATACACAAAACCTTGCAAGTGATGCTGTCCTCGTCTGTTATGCGAATTCAAGATGGTGAGAATGTGCACATAGAAGTATTAATTAAAATATATCTATTGTCTACTTTATATATACATATGGAATTTACATTTCTAAAGTTGTTGTACGTGTAGCAATCAAATACTTGCCATATATATATTTGAAAGCATTAAATGCGGAGAATCATAACCATACAAAGGATGAAAGTATTAAATGTGGAGAATCATAACCATACAAAGGATGAAAGCATTAAATGTGGGAAATCATCAAGATGTAATGTCTTACTACCCTGACTGATACATTAATAAGAAACCCCAATGTCTTGGTGATTCCCTTCTTAATACATGCATTAATTACTAAGATCTTAAGATCATATCAGAATCCTAGCATCAATGTCTTGACTACTAGAACACTGATGATGAAGTTGTCAAATATAGAAACAATGTAAATATGTCTGTTCTACACTATTCCTTAACATGAAGAATTAATCAAGACAACTTTATACAAATCACATAATAGATAAACAAAATATCTAATTAACCATTCATAAATTCACACTTGAGTTCCATTGAATCAGACTACAAAGGACTCTACTCAGACATAATTGAAATACAAACAAGAGAAGAAGAAAGATCAAACTCCATTGTCATGATAGTTGAGTCTTCAATCTTCAAGTACAATTACATAAAGAAGTACTAACTATTACATAAAGTAATCCTAAGGAATTTGGAAATTCAGAGAGAATGAGGAGTCAGATCAAATCTATGAAAGATCTGATCTGATCTCCCCTCTCCTAGTGTGATGAGAAAGGTCAGATTCGAATATGAGAGAATATGATAGGATATGAAGGCCCTTGCCTTTTATAGAGTTACAAAATACAACTGAAAAACAACCAGAAACTGACATGGACGCTAAAACGCTCATTCTTGGACGTTTTAGCACTCAACTTGGACGGATGAGCACCCACTTTTAATTGTCCTGAGCGCTAAAACATTCTACTTGGATGTTTTAACGCTCAAGACTAGAACATTTTTGCACATCAGAGCAGCAGGGCGCTAAAACTCTTGACTTTGGGCGTTTTAGCGCCCAACACTTAGAATTTTCCCATTCTTCAGAATCTTCTTCCTTCTCTCTTTTGCTTCATTGAGCTTCATTTCCCTACAAGAACAACGTAAATTTTCAATAAAAATTTCAGAACTTGTATTCAGACTTTCTAGGACATTAACCCTCTTTTCTATCCATTTAATCACACAAATTAAACTAATTCATGCTTTAAAACCTTATAAACCAATGGTTTATCACAATTCCCAGATTTGAACATTGTTGTCCTCAGCAATGAATTAAAAACAGAGAAGAAATTGAGATTCTTAACAGATGAAATTCATGAGGATAGACTTCAATTAACAAAAGATCACATTTCATTATACAAGCTTATAACCATGCATGATTTGCCCAACATCCTATGTGACTTTTCAACAGATCAGTAAAGATGATATACAAAGACTTCCAAACAACAACACCCCCTTACTAGGAACTTCTCAAAAATTGTGAGAATTTAACTCTCTTGCACTCTAGTGTTTAAGGATGCATTTATCACTCATTCTTCACTGAACTTAAACTACCATAGGCTTGCCTATCTTCTCACTGTTCATAGTAACAATGATCCATAAGGCAGATCAAAAAGGTCTTGGTGTGATTAGTAATGAGGCTTGGTATGTGGCTTGATTAGAGGTAGGGATTTGTGTTTAAGGAGGGTTCAGATTAAATGAATCAGATTCAGATAAGAGGAGGATCACAATTGTATTTATCCATATTCTTCTTAATTCTCCCAACTTTCTTCCTTTTAATTCCTTGTACCTTCTTTGAACCTTTCTTCCTCCTTTTTCTTCCAGACACTTTGTGTCTTTAATTTTTTTTCTTTTTCTCCCTTCTTTTTCTTTTAGACACTTTGTGTCTTTAATCCCCTTTCTTTTTCTTCCTTCTTTTCTATATCTCTAACACTTTGTAACACTTTGTGCATTCATTCATTACAGAAAACACTTTTCTCCCAACAGAACTTTTCATCCGTTATCACTTATCTGAACCTTTTAATCTGAAGGATTGGAATGAATGTAGGTTCTTGGTTTTATAGACAAACAGGCTTAAGCTCAAGAGTTTCATGCAATGGAAATATTAAGGTTGGTCATTTAAACTTTCTGATTCAAGAAGGAAGTGCCTCATCATTCTACCCTATACATCATAAACCATTTCAAGTAAGAAACAAGGCAAGTTCTAGAGTTATTCATGCAGTGAAGTGCTCTCCGAACAAAAATTTTCTGTATAGGCTCAAATCCTCACAGTTCAGAGTGCATGCTTGACTTTCTCTATATGTATCAAAACTAATCTCTCTACTCTTACACATTGAATGAGTCATGCAATCATTTCATTTTTTTGCTCAACATGCAAGGTATAAGATTGTATCCTTAATTTGATCAATCATCTAAAACTTTGATCAGTCAAATCCTCATGGAATTCCATATCATAACTGAAATCCAAATTCAATATTACAGCTAAAATCTAAATCACACAGAAAACTTAGAAAAGAAAAAGATTGAGATATTTCCCTGTTTTGGCTCATCAATTTGTGTGACATCTCCTTGAAGTTTGCATGCCATTCAATCACACTCAATTCCCAGATTTAAATGTTGCTGTCCCCAGCAACTAATTTAAATTGAAAACAGCAATTGATCACTGAAACACATTCATATATAAACCTATAGCATCAGTACTATCGTAATGTGTATCATGCAAAAACAGCAATTATTCCAATGTACTTAACTGAATTACAAAAATAAACTAAGAGCAAAATAAAACTAAAAGAAACTAAAATCAGAACAACAGAAACTAAAGAGGAGTGAAATCAAAAGTCAATGTGGGACACAATAGAAGAACAACCCATGATGTTCTAAATGAGGAAGGAAGATTGTAACATACATTGTGGTTGATTGGTGGATGGATGCAGAAAAGAGGCAGAAGAATTTGAGAGTGTGTGAATATGAAAGTGAGTGAGTAGAATATGAGAGTGTGTGAAACATATGAGATAACCGAAAATCATATAAGTTGACCAGCGCTAAAATGTTGAAATCAAGCGTTTTAGCGCTGGTCTCCAGAGACACGTGCACATTGATGTGCGTCGCATCGCGCTAAAATGGTTACGTCTGAACATTTTAGCGCTCTGGACCATAAAGAACAAAACTTCACAAATACATATAAATTGCTGAAAAATAAAAATTCAATCTCAAATATTAATGATATCTATCAATGTTGAAGAAACAAATCCCTGGCAACGGCGCCAAAAACTTGTTGTGAGATTTGCAAGTGTACTAGTCAAACAAGTAATAAAATGATGAGTAAAGATCATTCCCACGAGGATTTATATTCAAGCACCGACTAACCATATATACTTAAGTTGAATAAACCAAAAGATCATTAATTGCATTGATTTCTTGTCACCAGAAATGAAGTTGAATTGCATAAAAACTAGATAAACAAATAAAATGTGGTTATAATTTAAACAAGTAGTCAGATGTCAATTTCCCTCAAGCATGAATTTATGGATGAACCAATTTCCATAATGAATTACCTACTA